CAAATTTAGTAAAAATATTTTCAGTAACCCCTATAAAAAACTAAGACTCATAATCTATTCTTATATACTATTATAATAAAGCGTAAACACACACTTCTTTGTTGCCTAAGATGTCAGCAATTACAGCATGTTTTTCAATCATTCTTTTTTTAATGTAAAGCCCTACACTAACGTCACGCTTTAGGATAACAAACACTAATGTGAGAAAGAGACCATAAGTTGCTGCCAACATCAAGGAAGCAAGACTGTCAAGGTTTGTCATGTCATGTCATTTTGACATTTGCTATTGATAATTTGACAAGTGTGACAATAAAATAAAATTTTCACAATTTCATGCGGATGAAGCCGCATTGGAACAGCTAGTCACTGATACGACTTAAAATTTTTGATGACAGCCACCTGAAATCAAATTGCATGACGGAAAAAAATACAAGGATTTTATGTAGTTTTTCATAGACCTACATCCATCAAAGATCTATATAGAGCGGACATTAGTATCACGTCAGACGTCTATCAGGGTTGCGTCCAATTGAGTGTTTGGATTGGTAACTCTATTAACAGCAAATGAAATATAGCCAATATTTTTTAAATAGATACAACACGTGCTTGACCCGTAATTATTCAAATGACGTATAGTCTAGCTACAATCATAGACAAACGTAACATTGTCTAAAGTGGGACGTCTAGTTTCGTCTGAGAAAGCGGTCTATAAACAAATTCAATTGGCCCCAACTGGTGAATTTTTATACGGCAGCAATGAGATCATGAGGTGAATGGACTGCGGACGACGCGCTCTGAGAAAATGGGTCGCTGGGACTCGACTGACATTGATTTGATTGATACAAATATGTTAGGAGACAAGATGCGATAAGTCACCATGGGAATTGTTATAACAGCTCCAACAGATTAATTGTAGTGCTTGATATCATAGGATTGGAGGTTAGTGGCGCACTTTTAATTAAAACATCACTTTTAGCCTATCAGCCAATCTAAGATATGAATACTCAAATTGTTCGGTTCAAGGAAATAATGTATTTGTTTGAATTAGTCACATGTTCAGGACGTCACAGTAGTAGGTAACTGATACGTTTTAAAAGCTTTAAGCCTTGCTTATGATTAGGGTTGCCTCTTTTAGTTTGACCCTGGTCTCTGGATTGGAATGAGAGGTAACAGTAAGGCGACAGTTGACCACTATGCGCACCAAGTCAAGACGTCTTTTTGTTGTTGTTTCAGAAGTCGTTTTTTTAAAGCTTTGTAATTTATAAGGGAGATTTGTCTTTTTTTTCAAAAGCCTTTTAAATACCACAGTACTATGTCTTCCCTCAAGATATATGATCGATGTGTGTTATTAATGTAATTAAATCAGAGTGCAACAGTGGTCTGCGGCAGTAAGTCCGCAGTGGGCAGACGGCGCCTACCAATTTAACAATGACGCCGCGAGACTTATGTAGTGTAGTCAGTGTCACGTGAACGATCCAATACTTCGTTATGAAAATTATTATGATAAATTCTACTCACTACATATGCAAATTAATTAAATGTTTATAGTTTTATTTGTTATTTTTCATGAATTAAGTTCACGCTGCGGTAAAATTCAATTAAACCTATGCTCCTTTTCTTTAGTATTTTCCGCGATTTTCTCAAGATTCTCAGCCAATATTGCAAATAAAATAAATTTTCTATAAACAATTGTATAACTGAGGTTTTAATAATTGCGTAAAACAGTTTTATTGACGAGATCTAATATTTTGATTATGAGAAAATAGATGTTGTGCAACAGAAATATTTTACGAGCGTAATATAATTTAGAATCAGTTTGCGAATTGAAGTTGTCGATGTCGACGTAAGTGGCGCCCGCCGAGACCCTCTCGCTAAATCATACAATTTGGCATCGCGCCGACCATAGAGTAAATCATTGCAGACACGCCAAAAGTATTATATCCATTTTTATTTTTAAATTATTTTCTTAAAATCTTTTAAAAATCAGTTGTCTTAAAATCTTCGTAATGTTTTCAAAATTACTTTGCTAAACTACTCCTTCATTAGTAAAGATAGAGCGAGGTAGAGCCGTTTTTACTCAGTCTGTTTAGAGTATTAAAGTTAAGTGATTCAGAGTCAATTAAAACCAATCAATCTGTTTTGTCCTTTATATCTCACATTGATATTACATTTTTCTTAGCACTAAACATTTCTGCGACACTATCTATGGAGCGTCAAGGCGC